AATATATGATGATGATGACAATGATTATTATTATGATACAGCCACCAACTGGTCTAGTTTGGAGTCTAAATGCTATATAATTAATAAAGAACAGGACTCCATATCACTAGCATATCCATACTTAAGCTTGTCCAATTAGGAAAATATTTCAGTTAATAAATTTAAACAAGATTTGGCTTCATTCAACTTTGGAGCTGATCTGAAATTTTTGGTTTAATTTTTTCGTAATTGGACAACATGGAGCCTACTATATATATAAGACATACAAAGATTCCAAGGCATCTTTATATGTATGTTACTAAAGCATATTATAAGTTTTAAGCCTTATAACCTCAACATAAGATGGATCATTTTCCCTTAACTCGCCTTAACTCGCACAAACTCGCAACTAATAGGCGAGCTCAATTTTTCCTTATCTCGCCTTAACTCGCCTAAACTCGCATTAGCTCGCACAATCTCGCGGCGAGTTAAGGTCCCAGAGTAGGCCTGTTAATAATCAATTGACAGCAGACTAATTGACAATGGGTCAGTGCAGGAAATAACTGCTACATTTTTTCAAGAGCCCTTACACATGCTTCAAATACAGTCGAACCTCCCATAACTTATGGGAGGTGGTCGCTTACGAGAAAAGAACCAGAGGGGTCTCTCCCAAGAAAATGTCTGGACACATCCATTTTATGGAAGATTATAACAGATTATAGCATGTAATTCTAAAGATATGACATGATGAGTTCCATGTTTTTGCTAAGAATCTTAGTATATTTTAAGTAACGTAGTACACACAGTGAACATAGAGATCAGGACAATGTGTGAAGTAGTCGCTCAAAACAATGGAAACTCATTAAACCGTTAACCCCAAAAAGTGCTCGTGGTTGCTTACAGGAGGTGGTCGTTTACAAGAGATTCCAACTGACTGGGAAAGTTTTGGAGTTTTGGAAAGCAAGTTGGCTGCTTATGGGAGGTGGTTAATTACGACAGGTGGTCGCATGAGGTTTGACTGTACATTACAGTCAACTCCCTTTATAGCGGACACTGTAGGGACCTTAAGTTAGTGTCCTCTGTAGCGAGAGTTCGTAATAGCGGGAGTTTATTTCAGTCAAATGTCTGTAATTTATTTTTGCCCCGAATTTATCTGCTGTCCGTATTATCGGGGTGTCCGTTATAGCGGGGTGTCCGCAAGGCGAGAGTTGACTGTAATTAGTTGAGTAATTTGGGTGATAATAGACTGATTGCAAATGTGGCGACGATCTCACCAAAGCGAGGCTTTTCGGTAGCAACCGTTGCTAAGGGCTGGTCGCTTGTTTATATGCTAATGCGAGTCCGTTATCTTGCTGTTTTTTCACTCTGGAAACAATAAAAAACCTTCAAGAAGAAGTCACCATCGGTTGTTTTTTATTTTGCCCATATTATACAAATGGGAACGGAGATGATAGGAAAAATCACGATTGCGATGTACTTATGTGTGAACTCGTAGTACATTTCCGACTTTGAACTTGAACTTCTTGAAAATGTTTTGGATTCAGTTTCACTGTATGTTCTTTTTACTGAACAGTATTAAGTTCATAATGGATAGGCCTGTGGAAAAGATGCATGTGAAGGAATTAAAAGAAATTCTTTTTAGGAAGAAAGTGAGCCTGAAAGGATTAACAGTGAAGGCCCAACTTGTTGCAAAGTAATTAGCAGCGTTTTTAACCCTCTGTTTTATATGATTAAATACACTTGAAAACCGTGTAATGCACCTTTGTCTTTTGTCTCATTATTTTTTTTCTGTCTAAGTGATTGCAAGTTTAAAATTAGCGTCCTTTGTTGATTTTTTTTGTGCAGAGTGAAGGAAGTACTTCAAATGTGTACAGATGATCGCAGGCAAAATGATCAAAATAATCAAGCCACCGCCGTTGCACTTCGTGCTCGAAGCAAAAAGAGCGACTCAGATCTTCTTAGGGAGAATGAGGAAAAGTTTAGATTTTGCCCCTCTGAGAAGAATATGGAAAAACTACTGGACGATCTTCCTCCATTCACGTATAATACCATTGTGAAATATGTCCGAAACTCCGGTAAAAACATTCAACATTCCTCAGACTACATGGTACTAAAGCCGTTTGAAGGTGGTGTCAATTTTTTTATTGAAGGATACCTTCATAACGTTGGGACCAAGAATCACAAAGAGAGCAAAACCTTTTATTTCAGAGCCCTTTGCTACCGAAGTCTACGGAAAAGTGAACCCCCACATAAAATAAGATTAGCAATCTTAACCGAGCAACCTTACGATGTAGTTTCTGTTTTTTTTGCTATCATTTGCAAAGTTGTTTAAGTGAGTGAAACTTAAGTTCTCTTCATAACGTTCACGTCGGAGTAAGCACAAAACGTAGAACAATCAACATTTCAAACTTTGCAACCCAAGTTTTTAAGCTTACATAAAAACAACAACACAGGCATTTGTATTTTCGTAACTGAGTTAGTATACACTTTCTTTGTTTTTAAGTACCAAAACCACTTTAAGAAGTCCCCATTAAAAAATTCTGGAAATTCCTGTGGGCCTGGAACAGAAAATCCTAGGGGGTGGAGGGGTGCAAATAAAACAGTCTTCTAAGGGGGGTATGGATATTTTCTGGAACCACACATTAGGACTGAAAACACTTCTTTTTAGAGAGTAGATCAATATTTTTTAAAACAATTTTACTGAATAGCTGTAAAAGTGTCATATATCGATACTTAAATATTATTAGTTTTTTGAATAAATTATTAAGGCCGTAATATATAATTTTAATAGCCAAAAAATGCGACAGTGTTAAATTTTATGCTATCGTGGTCAAGAGTCAGTCAAAAAGAAATTGGTATGTAAATGTATCGCTGCCATGGTCCATAGTTCTTAACTGGAGAATTTAAGGTGATTCCCTGGTTTTGCACTGCGCATCTCTTACTGCGCATAACAAGATGACCGCCGTAAAAAAGAGCATGTGAAGTAACATTATTAAAATGAAGTTGACCGAGGAGAAACGCTATTGGAATTTTTGCTTGCGGTTGTTTCTTGCCGAGGTGAGACTCCATGTGTTGGGAATGTGCATAACGTAAGCAGTACGCGTGTTGCTGAGTTCGACTTCCTGAAGGAGAACCTAGATAGTGGATGTTTAACTTCACATTGTGTCCTAAATGTGATATCTCGATATAAATTCTGTAAAAACGGATTTTTTAATACTTTCTTTCCCCTTTCACATACATTCTATTTTGAAACTAGCCCCAGGCCTCTCTCAAAAATCGGAGAAAATGCATTTGGTGCGCACTTTCTGCAGCTCTACCGCAAAAACGAGTACGGTGACCCCTATTTTTTATTTCATGATTTTAATAAGGACAGTGCTTCCTTTCGATGAGAAAAAAAATTGGTACAAATCTATGTTCAGTGTTTTGGCGATTTTACTAAATTGTACGGATTTAGTTATCGCAGGTCGAATAGCGCGTGCCCAATTTAATTCTATTTTGGAGTGTAAAGTAAAAAAAAGAGCATTAAAAGGCATTTTTCTGGTATGTAAGTGGATAAACAATACATTAAAGTCAAATTCTGAGCGATACCACATGCATCATCGAAAAAATCTCTCCTTTCTGTCTAGTTTTGGGTTGCGCGCGGTTTTTGTCAAAGGGTCCAAAATAGCCGTATTTGTCCAGTTGTCAGCATTGTGACGTCAAAACGAGCACGGTGACCCCCACTTTTTATTACTTTTTCATCGTCTTCTTGAATTGTTCCATCAGTGCACCAAGTTTCATCTACAATCTATGTTAGGTTCTTTTACTAAGGAATCACGTACATTAAATTGACTGTGTAAACGTACTTCTATCGCAGCCCATAGTCCTGTGGTGGGAGAAATATTTGAAATTAACTAAGAATGCACTCCTTTGGGATGATCCAGATCAGGACCAGGGATCTGAGATAACTTGGTTCATGGTACATCAAATGAACCAATCAATCCTTTCCGAGGATTTTTTTTTTT